CAAGCCATCCGAAGGAGAAAGTTCTTACTTCCTGCAAAGTGTGTTACACCGGTTACTTCCAATGCTGCCAGGATTGTTCAGAATCCTAATATTCACTTATGAGGTCGTTTATTTTGCTGCTTAGCCAACTTTACCCCAAAGAATGATAAAGGCAAACATTTCTTTAAACTTTAGCTGGAAGTGTTCCCTGAACACTTCCCAACTTATCAGAAAAATTCTGTAAATTAATCGGCAAACTGTGAATTCTCCTGATTTACTCGATGCATAACGTGGCAGCATCGCTGTATATTTTTCCTCCGGTTTCAGCTTTACCATCGAAGACCCGAAGATATGAATCGACAGCAAGCGCTAGTGAAACTACATTGTGATTAACATTGATATTTTAAGTAAAATCGAAATGATTATTGCTATCGGGTTTTTAGTGATAGTGTGTGCCACTACTATAGCGATAATCCGATCGAAAAAGCCTCTGAAATTGATCATATCGGAGGCAAAATATGAACTTTTGTACAATGCCGTGGGATCGAGGTATTTAATGCAGGATTTTCTGATGCGCAAACAGAATAAAATTGGTGAGACTTTCTACCAATTTATAATCAGATCTGTTAATTTCAGATAATTTAATAAATTGGTTTGTTAGATTTGCAGGTCAAATCGGGCAAAACTGCTGTGATAACTGGAGGAACCAGAGGAATTGGTTTGGAAGTTATCAAATTTCTTCTTAAGTGTGATATTAACGTGATCATAGGTAATTTTTTTGTTTTTTAATTGTTGGTAAGGGTCGAAATACAGTATTTTTTCACTCAAAAGTTGGATTTTTTTGAAGGTGGCGCAGCTTCAAGCGATTTTATTCGGAGTATTTCGGAATTTGGTTCAAAAAGCACGCGATTTTAACCGGGGGAAACGTACGGTTTTCCTTTGAGGTGCAGTTGTAAAATATCAGAAATTACAGATGCTGATAGAACTAAAAGCGATTGTTCAACAATTGCTGTTCTTTAGCCCACAACAAGCGTAAAGTTTCACAGAAAAAATCGAATTTTTCAGAGCGTCAAATGATTATATGCAGGAAACTCATAGAATGTATATCCTAAAAAACTCTATAGCTAATGCAACTTTTCATCAATTTTAAATCTTCAGGAAATAGAAGAAATTAGAAGCTTTTACAGTTCAAATATTTAAAAAATTGGTTAGAATTTTGAGCTGAAAACCTTCTTGGTGTAAAACGAGCTCATTTATTCACCGCAGAAGAAAAAACCCTCTTATCCTTTGAACCTGTTTCACACATGCGGGAATTTCTTCAATAATTTTAACCGATTATATTTAAAAAAAAAGGTCCTTTTGAAAACTCAATTTGTCTTAGTTTTTCGATTTTTATGTTTAACAAGCGGAAGAGCAAGAGAAAAATTCTACTTCAAACGCATTTCATTTTAAACTTCTTTGCCTCAAGAAAAGTGTGTTTTTTATTACACATTTAACACTTTTCTCTTTAACGCAACGGATTTTAAAACCGATTACATTTCGGAAGCTTCTGATTTTTTAGTTTCTCCAGCGGTTTCTTCAACGGTCAAAAGCGAAGGCGAAGGTTTTGTGTTTTCAATCTCATTTTTTAAACTTCTAAACGGGGCATCAACCAATAAAGATGGAGAATCGATTCCGCAAAATGTTGATTTCTGCAGCTCAAAACAATCATTTTGAACAGTTTTAAATTTCAAAGTTTTAAAATCCACTTTTAACGGAAGAAAACACAARTAGACAGTTTTTGTAGATCAAATATTTTCAAAAATGGTTTGCATTTTTMGCTCAAAATCTTCTTGGTGTAAAACGAGAACAATTGAAAACTTTTCAGGCAGTAAAAGGAACTCTTTTATTCTTTAAATCTATTTTGCAGATGCCRKATYTTTTTCGCTTATATTGCGGYTTTCATGTTTAAAAGGCGAAGGAGAAAAAAGAAAAAGTTTCTRTTAGAAACGCACCAGAGATTCTTGCAGTTAAAAGAGCTGCAGGTAAATATTCWATAATTAAAAAARAATTGATGAACTCAAAACCTTCTTGGAAGAAAACAATATTTTTGACCGGGTTTTTAAATATTCTTTGGTGGTTTCGAAAACCAGAACAATTTTCCCATTTTTTTAAAGTTTGCCTCATTTTCAAATAGCAACCGTTTTTAGTTCTGAAAATTATTTTTAAAATTTCGAACTTTGGACCTACAAAGATGAGGAAGCGATTCCAAAAAATGTTGACTTTTCAAAGAAACGCCCTTTAAACAGCGCTTCTTGTCGCGAAAACTTCACTATTTTAAACCCAGAACGCTCTCTGACTAGCAGAATAAACTCAGCTTTTTGCGGTTTTGGCAAGTTGAGATTTTCACCCCAAAACTATTTCCAAAGAATTTTTTGGATGTTGATTTTTCAGACTGTTTATTTCTGTTCTTAGGCTGTAGAAATGTTCAACAGGGGGAAAGTTTGCTGTCCAAATCCAGGGATGAAGGCATCAAGACGGGGAACATCGAAGTGTATCAATTGGATATCAGCGTGTTGGAATCCGTGAAAAAATTTGCCGCAGAAGTTAAGAAAAAGCACTCTGAAGTCGACTATTTAATCAACAATGGTAAGACAGGCTTGCGCCATTATTCAAACCTGTTGAGTTTTTCGGGCTGCATATTTTTTCCTGAAGTTGCCTCAGAAACTTATTAGTGTAATTTATAGAGTGTTTGCGTCTAAAGTAACGGCTGAAAACCCGCTGTGTGCGTTTGTATTTTCTCTGTCCATACTTTTCATGTATTTTTACTATCTTTACTTTCAATGGGTTGATCTTTTGCTAATTTAGTTTAGATAGGGAAAGAATTAGAATAAAAAATACCTCAGCAAAACACATGAATGCATTTCAGCTGGAATAATGTTCGGGCCTTATGTGGAATCCAGAGATGGATTCGAGTCACAATTTTCCACCAACTATCTGGGGCACTTCCTGTTGACGCATTTGCTGCTGCCTGAGTTGAAAAAAGCAGGAACTGATAAGTCACAGGCCCGAGTAGTGAACGTGTCGTCCTGTGCTCATGTGGTCGGAAAAATCCACTTCGAAGACATCAATTTCCGGTAAGAAACGTAAGTTCCTCCAAGCTCCGGAAAATAGTCAAATTGTTCCAGAAAGCAATACATTCCAGCTGAAGCTTACGCACAGTCCAAGCTGGCCCAGATTTTATTTTCCAACTACTTCAACGATCTGATGATCAAAGAAAGTGAGCACGTTCAAAGCCATGCAGTCCATCCTGGAGTGGTCAACACGGATCTTTTCAACGATACGAACTTAAAAACCGTTGCACCTTGGCTACCTTCGTTGCTTTTTAAGGTACAAGTTGGCGCTTAGCTTTGCCAATTTTTACGCTTAAATATCGATTTAAACAGACACCGGAACAAGGAGCCTATCCAGTCATCTACGCCTGTCTTTGCCCGGACTTAGAAGGCAAAGGAGGAACTTACATACATAACTGTGCGACAATTTCGCCGAGCGATCGAGCTTTGGACGCAGAACTGCAAGAGAAGCTGTTTAACTTCACGAAAAACCTACTGGAGATTGAAAAATTTAGCGCTACATTATAATTGTTTGTTTCGCTTCATTTTCATTATACTGTTTTTGTTTACTGTTGCGTTTTTTTCTACCGCATTTTATCCCGATTCATGCTCAAAAAATACAGCAAAGTGTGATAATAAAGGCAGTGAATTAGGAAAAAGCAGTTAGTTAATTATCAAGATGAAGCACATTTGCCTTGAAGCCAAAGCAACCAAGTGCAGATGAGAGCATTTTTTCGTGCATTTCAGGTCGCCAAAGACTCTCCAAAATAAATAAAAAATTTCCTGTTCATGAAATTTCACTATTTTACTTCGTACGCATCACATCTGCTAGCGACTAAAGTAGCGCTCATATCGCCGGAGCAATTAAGATCAAGTTCAGTCATTATTAATTAAAGAATGTGTTAAAAATGCTCATAAAATGACGCTTTATCGATTTTTCTCTAGAACATGCACTTTATATTCAGACGTGTGTTTGCGCAATATAAACAAATAAATTTAATTGTTTTAGAAAAGCAACGTGCGTACGACGGTCAGTTGAATACGTATTTCAGTTTTATTCAAAGCAAGTTTCGTATTCAAATATGTGATTGCCATAAAAGCGAATTGGAATAACTATACGTTCATTTCACTTTTCGCAATTTCTTTTCCTATGGAAACATGTCGGAAATTTTGATGATGGCCATTGTATTCAAATTCGGGTATAGAAATGTAACTCGAATTTCTACTGCTTTGATAAATCTAATTAAGTGTGAGTTATTAATTTGGTGTAAAATCTAACTGTGTTTGGTTTTGGGGGCGCACATCTTAAGTAGAACGAGGAAGAATCCAAATAAAATATGTCACACCGGCTGCACATTTTATCTGGCTCGAAATCGAATAAAAACCCACAAACCATACACAATTAACATCATTAGGAATTTTTTAAATCAGTCCTAATTATGGTGCGCTGGCGCGTTTTGGAAATGTAATTTTGGGCTTAAACGCCTTTGGGTTCCAGAGCACAATTCTTTTTACATTGGGGCAAATCAATCAAAGTCAAAGCCATTTTTCCATCAAGGCACTTCTCTATGATCAGACCAGCTCAAATGTGTATTCCATGCAAGGTAAAAATATCACTTTCCGCATACCAGACGTAAAAGTGAATCCGTCTCCATAAACATTTAAACGAACTTCCTTATCACCATGATGGTACCAAAACCAAATGCATACATAGAACCCCCACATCGACTCGTATAAAATGGCTCTTCACTTTTTCCACGGCTCATTACATAGCGCTTCAAGTGGTACCTGGCTCCCAATCATACTTAGTGAAGATTGCATGAAGATTCAGAAGACCTGCTTCGAACGGTACGCTTTCAACCAAAGACGGTACGACTGCATAGTGTTTTCTTCCGATCGGTGTTAATCGTTGAAGGTTGCAACTATTTTGTTTTGGTCTTCATTTCGGTGTCGCGACAAGATTGTGGTTCTGTGATTGTGAAGATTTCATTCATTTTTCCAGTTTTGAATCAAGATGGATTACACAAGAAGGTAATTAATAAGAGCAGTTTAAAACAGTTTTTTGTTGTTTTTGCAACTTGTTTTTGTTTTAACTAGATAATTGATTTACGCTCTGCTAAAGAAATGACTGGAAAAAATTGTTCATTTTACGTTGTTTTACAGAAAACAAGCCTTGCTTCCAAAGGTGTTTTAGTATATTTTTTTATTATGTTCTTAGTACAGATGTACATTGTCGCATTCGCTTTAAAGAAACTGTCCTGGAGCTCTAAAACGTTAGGAGGAAGAAGCATGAAGACCATCTAACTGTATTTTTGAGCAGATTATGTAGAAAACCCAAATCAAGAACTTGAACGTATATTTAAATATAATTGTAAGAACTATATTTAAGGAAGACTTCAGGCAGCTAAAAAGCGAAAAATTTAAAGTTTTTAGAATAGGAAATGAGACGAAATATACAGAGAAGCAAGTTTAGAAAACTCAAAATAAGGAAACAGAACAATGTGTTTAATTTTTGCAAAATTAGTTATTTAAAAATAGAAAAGCACAATCCATAAATGTGTTTGGTTTATTTCAGTTTTTGGTAGATTTTCTGATTTTAGTCGATGTTCTCCTGCGTAGTTCTTGCAACTTTCGAGAACGATGTACCTTCTAGCGCACATACATATCTGATATTTTTCCGCTTTATTTTCCCTAATAATTCAGTTTAAAGCTCCAGAACATAGGAACAAAGAAGCCGAAAACACTTATTAATAATTTTTTCAACAACTGATACCGAATAATACCTTTACTCCAATTTAAGTACCCGAGAGTTAGCAAAACTAAGGATACAAACCAAATAAAAGACATGTTTTTCCATTCTCTCGGATTGCAATTGAAATCAGTTTTAAACGTAAATATAAAGTTTCACTAATTGTAATGATTGACGCCATTTCTTCTCTAGATAAAAGCTCGACTTAAATAAATAAATTGGAAAAACCTCAGTACAAGAAGAACTTAGAACAGGAGAAAAATTTCAATATACAAAAGCGAGTACTGAAAACTAAAAATTCAAGCAGAAGAACACGCAAAAGAGTTTGGTTCCTCAACATAAACAAACCCAACAAATTGTGCCTCCCAAAAATGTACTCGAAAATTCCCCTTTGAGGCTGAACTGAAGACATTCAGCTTCACATTGAAGAAATTGCCTGTTGCAAAGATTTTATAACTTTTACATCAAACATTAATCACCCGGAAGCGCAATGTTTCAAATGCAACTAAATTGCACATGATCGTGCTCACATTAATGAAGACCTTTAATTACTTTCAGTTTTCGTGTTTACTAAAGTACTTTCGACGTGTGATTAGTTTTACGAACACTTAGAAAAGAAACTTCTATTATTTTGCTATTAGAGAAGACTGTGGATACCAGTCCTTTAAAAAAGTATTTTTTAAACTGCCGAAGTCTTCAATCCTGGAAGAATTCTTCAGAGAACCCACAGTTAGAGTAAAAACAACTTTCTGAAAGTAAATTAATACCAAAACTGAACCGATGATTAAATCCTAGCATGTCTTTGCAATAAAACGCAAATCGCCGCTCATCTTTCACATAGTTTTCCCATATTTCGTTTCAGACAATAAAATTGGCTTCGGGAGAATTGAGAAAGAGACTGCACGAGGAACTTGCCAAAGAAGCGCTTTCGTAATTAACAATGCCGAAGACGTAGAAGCATGTGTACAATATGATCAGATATAGGGTAAGATAATTTTAATCTTCACTTCTAAGGAGGTCAAATGTGCGAAAAGTGTAGGTACTTACTCTAATGAGCGTCTGTTATAATTGATTATATGTAGACCATTGAGAAAAATACCCACTGTAGAGTTTCAATGATTCAATTCAGATTTAATGAAGAAATTTGCTATCAATTTTATAATGTTATCAAAAGAGTTGAGCCGGTCAGGAAAAGTTCTTTACACCACAGCCCAAAAGCCCGAAAAGCCCTACAGTTGCAAATTTATTGAGTTTCTCTACTCATTATTGATTGAACATTATTTAGAAATCATTACTCAGTAAAGGGAAATTTCCATTTGTGGGTTACCATCCCGCAGAATTTCAGCCGATGGTTATTCATAATTATTCATTTTATAGCTTCAAGTGAAATCTACTAGTGCGACAAAACCTACATCGTGAAATGCACGAAAACGTACGTGTCGCCAGTTGGAAATCGCCATTAGTTCTGTGGCAGAATTCGCATTTGTTTTTTTTATGTTTAACATAAAAAATGTTCCATTAAAGTTCCCTTGAGAAAAGAATTTGAAGAAAATGTTTACATGAAAATCCCACCTCGGCCAATTTCTCTTGAAATTTCGAACGATTTTTTAATTGAACCAATTTCGGCTTTCTAAGTTCAATACACGATTAATGACCTGTTAAATGCAATTGGTGATTAGTGGCTAAAAATGGTCAATTAGCAACCTGAATTGGTTACAAAATCCATTAAAGCGACGAGAAAACCTTATAACTTTTGAAGCCTAAAAATTGATTCTGAAACAATGTCTAGTAACTCATTTTTATCGCAATTTCAAAAACCTCAAGTATCCACTTGAGGACTTAAGTCATCGTCTATTTTTTCGACCGTAAATATTGATTTTATTTAAAGCGCTTGTTGGTTAAATCCAACGCAAATTAACATGCAACTTTACAAAAATTACACGCGATTTTGCCTCATTTTAGTTAATTCGGCAGAATCAGATCATTTTGACTCAAACCTAATTTAATTTGACTAATAAAAATAAATGTTCCAAAACTCAAGTACCGTAGGTTCGAATCACTCGTTTAATTGTAAAGAGGATTATGACTCCAAGTAGGTAATTTAACTCTAATTAAAGTGTTATAATTAAATCAGTATCTCTAGTGTTGTTATAAAAAACGCCGTTATATACAATTAACAGCTAATGATTTCAAATGGAAGTTTTACTAATTTTCAGTGCAAAAAATTTACTATTAAATTTAAAAAGGTGTTAAATACGAACAAAACTGCCTGCAATTCCGAATAAAATGATTTGACGAATTCGGAAAAATCAACCAAAAGTCCTACAAGTCCCCAATTTTTGTTTAAAAAGCAGTTTTTAAAGCAAGTTTAAAACATTGTCCTAATATTAGCCTATTAACCTAAATTATTAATGGGGACTTTTTGCATAAAAACCTAAACTATGTTTCCCTTACTTGTTCTTGGTTAGATTTTAAGAATTTCTCACGAAAACCGTAGAAAACATTTTCAACAATCAACAAACATTTAAGCGAAAGCAATAACTAGGATGCTTTTAATAGAAACTGAAACTTTCAGCCCTTTAGCTGCTCTTAGATTCAATTTCTGGATTTTTAAGGGCAATCGTTTACGTTTAACCGAGCAGTTGTTCTAAGCTTTATAAATTCTCCAAAACCCAAGTTGTTTTGCCTAAAATTTGGAATACCTGAAATTACTGATGTTTTGCTATAAAAATTCAAACTTTTATAGCCGTTTACCTGTTTTCGATCGTCACCTACTTAAAAACTTTGTTTGACAATCACGTTCAATTACATCAATTTTCAAAGCACTTTTTGAAAATTTTTTAAAATTCAACGGAAATCCCTCTAAGTTTGAAAATTGGAGTAATCATTGAAGCTTCTTCTACAAAAACCTAAATTTGTTTTTCCTGCACTTGTACTTATTTCTGTTTTATGTGGTAAAAAAATTCAAAAATGAACAACATTTTTAAAGTTACTCTATATTTACACATCTACGCACGATAATTAGTATGTTTTTTTTATAAAAACTCCAACTCTCGGTCCTTAAGCTGCTCTTAATTACAATTAATGGATTTTAAAACACAATCGTTTTCGTTTAAAAGAGCGGTTTTATAAAGTTTGCTAAATTCTCAAAAATTAAATCAATTGGCTAAAATTTCACACGCTTATCAATGATTTTTTGTTATAAAAATTTTAAATTAAATAACCTTTCATCATAATTTGCTTACAATTTTTGAATTTGACAAAATTTGAATTTTACAATATTGCGACTTTTGAAATAAAAAAAAATCAGCAACAATTCCTGCACGGCTTATGTTTCGCACTTTTAATAACTGGTTTATCTTCTATGAAAATTTAAAATCGCCCTTTCCTGATCTTCATTTGAGTAGATTTTATGAATTTTTAAAGCCAACCGCACACATTTCATTATTTCAGCTGTAATGTGCAGCTTTTGTTTGCAATTTTGTAATTTGCTGCCTTTTTACATACTTATACGCAATAACTGGATCTGTTTGATAAATGTTGACAATTTCACATTTTTACCGGCTCTCAGACGCAATTTATAAATTTTTTAATCCTAATCCTAAACTTTATAAAGTAGGACATATTTTTTTTGCCTGTTCGATAAATTCTCAAACACCCACCGCAATGCCTACGTGTCTTTAATTCTGGAGGCTTTATACATACGATATTTTACACGAAAGTTGAAAATATCAGCCCTTTATCCGCTCTTGATCACAACTTATGATTTTTTTATGGCAATCGGTCCCAATTCCGAAGTCAATTTTTCATGAAGTTTTGAAAATTAACCAAAAAATCCTAGAAAGCTGAAAAATATTCAAATGTGAACGAAAATGTCTAACTTACTGCCATTCAATACACATAATTTCGATAACAACTTGGAATTTGCAGTATTTATTTGCAATTTATGGGGTTTTCAAGACAAAAATAGAAAAAATATCATCAATCTTCAAACAGCCAGAATTTCCTCACTTTTCTGTTATCGCTCTAGATTCGCACACTCTGTATATTTTTTGTGGTTGAACATCGATTTAGTGAGTGGTGATTTACAACATCTCGCGTGTCATCACGCATAAACTGCGAAAAAAAGTGGATTAAAGAGGAAATGCCATCCGAGGCCAAAGAAAACAGAAACTACCGTTTAATCGGAATTGGCGATTTCCGCCGTTTCTTTGCAGTTGTGCCGTAAATTCCTTATAAAAAGTAAAAGTCATCTTTTGACATTGTTTTCTCATCTTTACAGGCAACGTTATGCAATGAGAGATAATGTGTATTTCGCTATTTAATGGATTTTGGGACTGAGTCACTAATAAAGAATAAATTAGACATTGTTACTTCAAGCGCTTGGAAGTTGCAAGGCCTAAGCAAATAGCACCGAATTTAAAATATACCAAAATGGGAAAATGTTAAATATAAAAAATAATAAACTTTACACACCAGATGAACACGACGGATTTAATTAATGTACCGTAACTTTAACGGATTTACCAGATAATTAAGCCAATAAAGTGCAGACTATTACAGTTGCCAACATCATAATCTACTGTGTATGTAACTTAATAAACATAAATTTTCATTGCTGTTACACGCCAGTTGGCTGATGCAAGCAGGTTCTGCATTTTGTGCATTTAGCTTGACTATTTTTGTTCATTTTGTCCATGGGACTATTTCGCATTTAAAGGCATTAGCAAAGTGCACAAATTTAATTGAAGTTACCTACACGGATAAGATTTTTTAACTGCGAGAATTCCCACTGATTTCACTTTTCACTAAACATAGCTGCGATTTGAACTTATCGCCATTGTTTGGAAAACATAATAAACCTGAAACTTTCTCACGGCAACAAAAAATATTCATGACCATTTCCATTGGCTTCCTCTTCATTCTAATTACTTTGCCATGAACTTTACCGGAGAAACACTCAATCAAGTGCCACTAATATGCGCATTTTTAGCTCCAGTTCTGCCCGAAAAATGCTATTTTCTCTAAATTCTAATTGCATACTAATGTGCGCAGCATTTCCCCATATTAAATCGAAATCTTCTAACTGATTAGCGACTGCTTTTCATGCAGCTGACGCTTTTCAAGCCTCTCTTGCCATTGCATCTCTGATCTTGACCCAGACCTTAATTGCAATCCGCGTGCCTACATTGTTCTTCTGCTTCACGATCATCGTGAAGAAAGTTATATCTTCTTTGGCTTAGTTTCCATCAGGTTTGCCTCATTCCGTTTGCATGGTTTTTTTCAGATTTTCTGTCTTCTACTTCTCTCTGTGCAACTATCCGACGTCCTAAGCGATGCTCAGGGGGCGGAAAAGACCATTGCCAACTCCCCAGTTAAAAAGTCGCAGCCAGCAGATAATTTGGGGCATTCCTCGACTGGCTGGCTCTACTCAACTAATAATGTGCAGGACTTAAGTGCGTCCGCCTCCGAGTTTAAGGAGGCAAGGTATCCTCCTCCAAACTTCCACTTGAGGGGGCAAGGAAGAAGCTGCTATGACTGCAACAGCGAGCCCTGGATTCCCATAGTAGGGAGGAGCCTGTATTTCCCCACTCCAGCCTCTAGTCACTCGAATAGTTTAGAGTTTAGCAACAAGCCCTACTTTAAGGAGAAGGGCCAGTTCAATTTACTCCGGCCTCCCATTGACCAGTATGGGGCGCCGCAGGCCAAATTCAACTACCCAGCTACTGGGGAGGTTGTGGACTTTATGCTGCCCCCACCATATATACCTGCAGCAGTTTCCAATGCGTATCTGCCAGCTCAACAGTTCAATGCTCAATCCAGTCCGGCTCCCAGTGTTTTCAACTTGCGTCCTCCACCTACTTGGTCTGGCTACACGGCTCCGCCCAGGCGCCCCTCACCTCCAAAGTATCTACCTCCATACCCCACCACTCCTCTACGGCCAGTCTCCCAGAACTTCCAACCTCCTCCTTTGATAGGCATTCATAACTTGCCCCTGGAGAAGAACCATAACTTGCCTCCTGCCATGCCTAGCGATAGCTATGGGAGGCCGATAACTGCGGGCCATTCTGAGCCGATAACTGCAAGCAGTGAATATACCAGGGTGAACCCTGTGGGGCATTTTGCCAGCTTCCAGCAGTCGTTTGTTAGGACGCATCCGAGTGATTTCAGCAACGTCCAAGTGGTGCCCAGTGTGCAGATTGCTGATTATACTGCGTCGATTGAGCACCCCATCAACTTGATCCAGTCGCCAATTTTTGACCTGAATGTTGATGATCAGTCGAAGGAGAGCAGCTCGCGGGAGAAGCTGAGCGAGAATCCCATTGTAGTCGATGACTCCTTCTCTAGCAGCAGCGACTTGAACACCACGTATTCTTCTGAGCTGGCGCATAAACGGCACAATGATAAGTACCTGGCTTCTGGGGAGTTTGGCAATCCCAGCCAGAAAGGGCCGGTGGATTTGCGAGATAATCTCATTCAAAAGCTGCTCTTTGAGCAAAATATCATCGATGATCCCAACAGTGTTGGTAGCAAACAAACCCAGGCACCGGGAAAAAATCTCCAGAACCTCCAAATCGTTGTGCCGTATGTCCGATCTGGGCATCCTACAGCCATTTATAACAGAGAGTACACCACATTGGCCCCTGTTTTCGTGCCTCCTCCTATTTCTTCAGAAGCAACCACTTTGTGGAGCCAGCTGGTGGAAGATATACAAACCATCAGCCACCACCAGGAGCCAGCCCAGGGCTTTGCAACTAGCACATCCACGGAAGTTTACAACATCAAAGACTTTATTGCCAAGAACAATTTTCCTTCCTATGACCTGCGGTCGCTTCAGAAGAATATTGATCACTGGACGCATCAGGCCTACTCCAACCGCCATAGTCCTATTGGACAATTTTCCACCCAGCTGAAGCAGATTCCGCAGGAATACCTTAGCTCCACAGCTAAAGACCACGAGGCAGCCAACAGCGACAGAAAGGAGGTGGTGATTGAGGACATTGAAACCAACTCAATAATACCGCAGGAATCGTCGGAGGAACCCAACAAGCCCCAACAGTTAGCAGTCAGAGTCGAGAAGCCTCCATGGGAGTCCAATAAGGTGACCTTGTCCAACTCTACACATGAAAAGGTCTACGTGGTCACTCCTCAAAGTTATCACATTTTCCCTACCAGCACCCCAACCACTGGGTTTAGCATGGCGCCTAAAGTGGAGAATGGCCAAGTCAATAATGCTTCAACCATGACCAGAATCAGTGTTCGCATCGAGAAGTCTGACGAGGGCGACGAGAAAAAAGCGAAACCTCTCAAGGTGGTCTACAGCGAGTGGCCGCATTTAAGTAGGTTCAAGGTCCAGCTGATTTAAGACTAATTAATTAATGAGTCTTTTTAGTCAACGATTTAGAAACCACCACTACTTCCAAGCCCACAACAAGACATCCGCTGTTTGGGCTGATGGATTTAGCCCCTTATACTGTTTCTTCGAATTCGATGGTAGAAACCATTGGGGGACATTCTAAGGTAATGCGGCTTGAATAAGCGATTGTAGAATTTTATCTACGATTCAACCAAACTGCCCTACCGAGAAAAATGAACCTTTCTACCGAAAGTTTCCCGCAGTTTGGATGTGCGTAAATTGTGATTGCTTAGAGCGACTTCGTTTCTAGCTGAAGCGCTTTCTGGTCTACAGAGCGGCAAATGAAACAATGCAAAAATTTGCAAAGTGGCACGCAAAACAGGTTTTTTTCAGTCTCAACGCCAAAAGCTTAAGATATTTTCTATTTACAGGGTGGTCTCAAAAAATCGTCTTTTTGGATGAGAACCGATAACTTTTCTGCTCTTGGTCCGAGCTTCACGATCTAGAGCGCATCTTGAAGCTTAAATTTCTCTTTTCAAATGAAGTGAAGTTTACTTGCAAATATTTAGCTCATTCATGCAACTCGGCATACCCCAATTTTTCTCTGAGTCCACTGATGTGCCCTGAATTTTGAAAATGGGATGATGAGAAAAAATGAATATTTCAAGACCCAAAAGTTTTTTAGACCACTCTATAAATAATCACGGTGGGCAAAAAAATCTTAATACCTGTACTGATAGCATACAGCACAGAACGTTTTTTGACCCAACTCAGAGCATGTAGAACTTTCACTGATTGTACAGTGTTTCATTTTCCACCCTGCAGAAACTTTATCTAACGCACTAATTTTTGCAAAACCACTCACTAATCGCAAAAGAATCGCACTAAATCATGTTAAGCAAGCACAATTTACCTATTTCCAAAGTTAGTCCAAATTTGTCTGTGTAAAGAAGATTTTGTTGCGCTGTTTATTCACGTTAAAATCACATGCGAAGACCGCACAGAAGAGAAAATCTTGCACTTTAAGTAAAGAACCAGGTTTCAGTATCGTGGGAAAATGCGCCTAATGGTATTTCGGTATACACTCGGAAATTCCGCAGAAAAACTTTAGCAAGTCGCTCAGAATTTAACTGAAATATTCGCGAATTTTTCGCATCAAAGTGTTAACTAATTAGTGTTGATTTGCAGGTCACTAGTGTTGGAACTTCGCCACTGTTCAAGTTTACCAGCACTACGCCCACTCCATTTAAGCATGCTAATGACACAGTAAAAGTGTCTGCAGAATAGTGAAGTTCTTGAAACTTAACTTCCATGAAGTTGATATGAACAAAGAGCTGAAATGAAAGCATGAGGCCACCAGAACCAGAGAATAATTTAGAACAAAACTGTGACTAAGAACTTTATTTAATCGAAGTAGGTCATTGAAATAAGGGTATAATTAAGAAATACTAAGATAAACCACGTAAGCTGTATTTCCGTAATAATAACCACACATATAATCTTAGTGTACATTTCTTCTTTCGCCTATTTATATAGTTTAGTAATTTATAATACAGAGTTAGCAAAGAAACGAAATCGATGTCGCGTTGCGCATTTTATATGAGCAAACTTACAAAACAAATAAACTAATTATTATGTTTTTTGTATTGGTTCATTTGAAAAACCTTCACAAATATTGACAAAAACACTGGCAAGTGCAACTTTCCCTGTTTTTATTATCAGGAAAGTTTGTTTATGGTATTAAACTTTATCAGTGTATACTTAGAGGATTAACTTCTGTAATCAATTAAGTTAAACCAATTTGTATACTTATCGTATACTCGTTTTGAAATAGATTGATAGGCGGTTTAATCCCCAAGTTGCACTAAAAGAGTGCGACAAAGAACATTGCCTAGTGGGTGTATTAGAAAGAGCGGAAAGGCAGAGCTCAATTTTGTTGGCAACCAATCGAAACACACCGAGTTACACAAGTTCCGATTAAAACCGATCGAACACGAGTGCATACGTTTGTCTCTTTCCTGCACAGGAATTGATGGTTCAACCTTGTTCCACTCTTGCGTTTGTTCAAACCTCTTGAAGAAGTTTTCTTTATCTAGAGCAAATATTGATGACTGTCCTAATTGTGTGGATTTCCCACAAATAAACGAAAACAGCAGTTTTTTGCAAATTCCCAAACCGCACTTGCTATTGTTCCGTCAATTTCTTAAAATCAAATCAATAAATCACATCTTGTTAGATACTACCTAGAATTTCGATTAGCACTTAATCCTACTTATCGGATTTTGGAATTGCTGAGAATATTGTGATATCATTTATCTTATCTGCCTCACTTTAATATTGGTATTATAGCAATTTTCATTTTATATCCTTGATTGAGTAAATGTTTGTGTTTCATTAAGTGCTCAACACAAATTGAGCAAAGAACTGTTGAGGTTTTATTAGTTTTGTGTTCATTGTTAACGGGATTTTGCGCACATGGATGAAGACGATTTTGATGATTTTGACGAGGAAGATTCTCTACTTGGATCAAATGAAAGGTAAAGTTCGAATGAGGAAAATGAGGATGGAACTGCGGAGTTTTTCGGGGGTTTGCAAAGAATTCTTTATGCCTTGGCTGGAAGATTTTTTGCGCCAAGCCCAAAATTCAAATGTTATTTTGGATATTCACGGAATTTCTTGTTGCCTAAGGTGTTTTGTATTAGAAACCCTTTTCGGGTCAAACAAAAAGCCAGTTGAGTCGACGACAAATTATGTAAATATGAAATCCTGAGGTGAAATCAAAGAGAACTTTATTCATGATCTTCCTTACTGCTTCCAGGTTTGCTTCAACTAATAATGTTTATTTGAATACATTTTCATAATGTTTGCTGTATAAACTGTATAAATATATATTGGTGACATGCAAATTGGTGAAATTGTCTCCCTGCGTCATTGTTCCACTTAAAACTTGGTGATGATACAGATATAAATAATGTATATTTCATTTTATGTATATGCTTGATGGTAATCGATTTGGCTGATAAACCTGAAATCTCCATCAATCTCTCTTGAAACCCTTAGTCATTGCATTGTTTTTCGGACAACTTCCTACTGTATAAGCAAATAAAACGAGGAAGACAACATCCACGAACAGAAATAATAATTGAATAAAACACCAAGCTGTTTTGAATTTGAGCGTAAAAAATCCCGATTGATTTATAGGCAAGGAGAAGAGGTGGAACCATGGAACAGTTTTCAAATAATCCATAGAAAACCTGCCAGTGGGTCGACAGTGGAAACCAAATTCATCGATAATGGAACCATATTTTTGAAAATTGCCACCATCTTTGGGGTGGGATTGGTCGTACTCCTAACAGCGGTCACATCGAAAGGACTGTTGCTTTTCATGACATCGCAGGTGAAGAAAAACGTGACCAGGCAATATTGCAACCGCGGTTTAGGTGAAAAGTAGCTGAAAACACTGGGGTTTTTGCTAAACCGTTCAGTTGCAGATGCATCTCGTCAGTACGTGTTTTCCATGCCCGATGTTGAAAGATCTACGTGGATCTGGCTGTTGATATTCGCCTATTGCGTCCCTGAAGTTGGAACCTTCATCAGGTTACTGCTGGGTGTTGATCATTGAATCCCTACTATCTTGAAGTTTTCCCTTCTAGATCCCTCAGAATTCTAGTCTTCAAATCCAGATCCTACCCGCATCCTGCAGAGTTTCTCGCTCTGCTAGTCACAGAGTCTCTACCAGCCATCGGAAGCAGCTTGTTGGTTTTCAACGTCTTACCTGAGATAGATGTGATCAGAGGTGCAATGCTTACTAACGCCATGTCCGTTGTTCCTGGCCTTGGTAAGACGTTAATTCCCGAATTTTCCAGTACTTTAGTGTGCTTTTTAGAGTTGATTTTGTTCAACATGTACTCGACCAAGAGGAGCGTCAGTATGGCCTTGGTGGCCGATATCGCTGCTCTGATCGCTCAAGTGTCAGCTTTTGTAGCGTGGCCTTTGCTGGCAGATGGCGACTCAACTATTTGGCTCATTCCGGTTTCCACAATTCTAATCTCTTTCGGCTGGTGGGAGAACTTCATTTCGGAAACTTCTGCGGTAAGTTCCCGATCAGTTAATTCGGGACGGGTTCCTTGATGCTTTGCGCTTCCAGATCGAATTTGTCAGAAACATGGCCAAGTCCAGAAAGAGTTTTCCAAATAGCAAGTATTTCTCCTATGCCATTATCTCCATACTGAAATGTTGCATCTTCTTCGCAACCACTGTGGCCAGTCTTTACATCAGGGAAGGAACCATTGGGTATATGTTTAACAACTTTACTGCCACATTCGGAAACCATCGCATGATGGTCACTGAGGTAAAAACTCTTTTTTCGTTAACTGATGGGAGAGATTAAGCGAAACTCTCTAACACTGCAGGTAATACCAACGATCAGCGGAATAAGCAATGGAGTGGATGACGCTGTGAGTTCAGGAGTAACTCAGCCGATCTACAGCGATATAACTCTCCAACTCAGCATATGGTTCGTGTGCATTGCTACAGCGTACATATGCTACGCTTTTGCCAAGTTTTCCTGCAAAATAATGATCCAAGGTGAGTTCTCAGAATTTTTCCCTAGCTGGGTTTTTCAACAGCTCCTGGTTTAGGAGCAAGCTTCGCTTTTCCCATCGGACTAGTAGTTCCAGTCCTCATCACCGGCTTGGTGATTTTTTGTGGATATTTTGCGAAGGACGAATGTGCCTTTCACGGCTCCATTCCATCCTATCTATTCTTCAACGCCCCGCCTTTGACATATTTGAACGATTTCATTGGCCATCAGTACGCTTGGGTGTGGCTGCTTTGGCTAGTTTCACAAGTATGTATTGGGTCTACATGGTCAATTTTATCATCCTTGATGTAATTCTAACAGATTTGGATTACCAGACACATCTGGTCGAACAAGAACTCCAAACTGGCTACAACTGAGCAGATTTTTATGAGACCGATGTATCATGGAATTCTCATCGATCAATCGATCGCGATGAATCGACGGAATGTTGCCCACCAGTTGAGGAAAGATGATGGTAAGTAGTCCAATGTGTTTGCTTTACCAACCAACAGAAGGAATGAGACTATTTGCGAAAGAAGCAGAAGAATTATATTTGCCTAAGTGATGCTTCCTGGTTGGTTTAATTGGTTGAATCGCTATAGGTTCTACAAGAGAGATCCTGAGGAATTGATTTTTTCTTCGTCTTCTTCTAAGGCGCTGTGCCCTCACAAAGGTTGGCGGCCCACAGGTCTGGTTACTGCAGCTCTGAAGATCTTTTGATCAATTCAAATCATCGTCTGGGATTTTTTTATGTTAGATGGTTTGTCTAGATTGAAAAATTCGCCCCAAATTGGAAAATTTGGGGATTTTTACGAAATTTGCCTACGTGGAAGAACCAAAAATTCTCTTTCCACTTGGTTGGGTGCAGGTTTGTGTGACCTCCAGTTGGAGAGTTACGAATTTTTAAGTCCAGTCATGCTTTCCAACATCAGTCTGGTCGCGGTCTAGATTGGAAAATTCGCCCACAATTTGGAAAATGTGGATGTTTCTACGAAATTTTATAGCGT